TTGTGACTTGTGCCCACAAACTGGTGATGTGATTGTTTTACGTGGTAGAACCATGCTGCAGTTATATTATTAGTATAGTTGTAGCACGAATGGGTCGGCTCGACCGGGGAAGAACCACGCTCTAACAGAATACCAGCGTAAAAGAGTAGCTTAATGCTGCTGTGTTTCGTATGGTGAGTGCAGAGAACCGGAGACCCTTTTTACTGGAAACGAGGCATTCCACCGACGTCCTCACGGATGACAACGTATCTGCATTTTGATTCGTAATCGAGGATAGATGTAGATGTCTATGGGCCACAGCAGCAACTTACCATCAGGTGGACTGTGCGCTCGTTTGTCATCCTATCCTATAAAAAAATAAAAAAATGTGGAGCAGCATTATCATTGCGAAATATCGTTTTTGTAATAAAAAAATAGATATTTTAGTATCAAAAAATGGAAATATTTTTTAACGCTAAATAGACAGAATTTCTACAGGTAGGTTATAAACATTATGATATTCACTTATGTTATATACTGGAGATATTTTAAATTTCTAAAAGTGGCCGGTTCTGCGTGCTGATCAGAATGTTCACCTAAGCACAAAGCAAACCAGTAAAATGTTCAATCATTTTTATTTTGTTTAAAAAATAACAACTTATTTACAACATCACATAGCTTAAAATCAGTGGTTTATTTCACTAACTTAAATAATAAAGTAACCTTACCCGAAATCCGAAAACTTTAATGTAATTATGAAAATTCTGATTTAAGGTTATTTCACTTTATTATTACAGGCTTCCTACAATTACATACATATTTTATTTACAAATACTAAGTGTAAATATACACTTCGTCGGCAGATCGCATTATTCTTCACTATGCAAAAGGCTTCGTTATAATATACACTTATATTTATTTAACTATACAATAATTCTGAAGGCAAATTTATGAAGCGCCTCATACGTCTCAGTACGATCGTAGAATTGAACAAATCGTGATCTACCTGAGTATTTCATGATGCACAGTTATTTCATGCTTTGACCGGTAATTGTAACTATGACTTCTGTATACTTTGTTATATAAATACGAAAACACCTATCAATTATCAAATATCAGTGAGTGGTTTAGCGTGTGGCTAAATGAGCGGCGACAAAACTGCGGACACACGATATATTATAAATAAAGTACCTGGATGACCGAGCTTTCCTCGGTTTTTTTTTTTTTTTTGGAAATCGAGTTTTTTGGAAATTATATTTAGATACAAATTACATACTGATGAAACATGAATAATATTTTTTGATCTTATTGATATAATAGAAAAAACTGAACTGGTTATTTGAATAAAAATCATAAGTGCAATTTTTATTAAAATATATTATAAAAATACTAAAAAAGGACTCGAATTAATACATTTTCTCACAAAAGAAGGGAACTTGAAAAAAAGGGAAAAAAGTCGGACCGTAAACGACGCGAACGCGACGGCCCTAAATCCACTTGAGCTCTTACGATCATTATATAGTGTCAAAATTTACCTTCTGAAAATGAAAAACTTCTACAATATGTAGCAGTTTTTCATTGCCTGAAAACACGGACAAAACGACATTTTCTAAAAATGCACTGATCGATTTATTGCCCCCGAAAACCCCTGGACACTAAATTTTATGAAAATCGTTGGAGCCGTTTCAAAGATTCCGATTATATATTACAAGAATTGCTCGTTTAAAGGTATTGGATTAAGCACAAAGTGCTATGGCGTATAAATCATCGGCTAAACCATATCAAGAAATACCCAGATAGATCACAATATACCCAATTCTACGTAGTACGACATGTATAAATTATGTAGAAAGTTGCATACAACTCACAACAAATCACAAACTGCAAAATTCTTCGATCTGATGACAATTTCACAAACCAGCGAGTATGTGCAAGGCTATGATGACAATGTATAATGACGAAAAATATAATCTGCCGACGACATATTATAAACAGATTATTGTTTTAGCATATATTATTATGTAGATGTATAATATATTAAAATTTAGTATAAGCGATATTTAAATCAAATAATATTCAGCTCGAAAGATGATGACTCGTTTGATATATTATGTCACAATATTGTTTCATCACTTAAATTTTGCGCTCTGTTTATTATTATTTGTATGTCTGAGGATATAGTACTATTATTACACATTAATATCTATTGATTTTCCAAACAATATCATAGTTGATCTGAACATGATTATAAGACGTCATAATCCCTAACTCAAATCCGAACTGTTTTTTACCGAAGCTAAAAATATATCTTTAACATAATAAAACGCAAAAAATATACATAAGTTGTTTATCGGTTCCGTACACTGACAATAACAAAATTATTTACAAAAACAGAATTATGTACAAAATACAAGTTATATTTTTTATAATGGCGCCCAAACTGAGTGCTTATTACTTTCGAAATAAAACATTTTAAAAATATTTTATATTGCATTATATTAATTAAAGTATCCTTAAGTAGTTAATTCATTGTACAAAACAAAATAATACAATATAAAGTATTAATTAAACATTTTAGGTTTTATTTTTGAATATATTAACATGCTTCTTCAGAATTTGAAATAGTATTTAATTATGTTTCCTGACATTTAACATAATATATTTTGTCATCGTGAAAACAAAACAAAATAAAACAATTTTTGACACTTCTTCAACTATATAAAAAGTTGAATTAAGTCAACAACGATTTAATAAACAATCAATTTAAAACATTAAGACGTGTTATTAGGTTACAAAAACAAACAACCAGAATTTCAGAAAAGACAGCATTTTATATTAACATCATCAGTTATAAATTGAGAACAAGTATTTTACTATGTGTGTTGTAATTTTCTATCCGTTCTATCAATTATGTAACCATTATTATATTAAGCTTAAAATAACAAAGAACATAATTTGCGCTAAATTTTTACGTCATCAATGACAAAATAGTCAGACATATATTATGTAAGTGGTAAAAATTCAATTAAAGTATGTATTAGGTATACTTTAATTGAATTTTTAAAAGGAAATTAAACGTAATTTTCTATGATGATTAAGGATATACATATAGATTTCACTTCTGTATCTTGAGAACGAGATAGCTTATCAGAGTACTAAACTATGTACTGAGATACAGTTCGTGGTTTGGGTCATGCTTTACGTCTGGAATCTTATTCCATATGTATTACATTACTTTAGGGCTAATGAGTGCTATTTTTGGGCGTATAACTGCCGCAGGATTTTTGCAGTAGTATATACAGGGTCATTTTTCAATGAATAGCCGAATTTGCAGAGAAGGTTCCGAATAAGTAATATAGGCGAATGGTAATGAAAAATCACAAACATTCTGTCCTTTTTATCTATTAAATTCAGAATGCATGGTAATGAATTACTTTCATTCATAAATGTCTAATACCTACTGTTTTACTACGTACGCACACATTCGTAAGACGTCGTCACCCGGCCGACAAAAACGATGTACATTGAAACGCACACATAGGAACCCGCGTACGGAAAGTTGTTGCCCATAAATCACATTCAATTTGGGATAATTACAAATAAAAGTAAAAGCCTTATTTATTCGAATTTTCAAAAATGGCAGCAACGGTACATCAATATTTATTAATTTAAACTTTAATATAAAATTTGGCTACTCTTTAAAAAATAACCCTGTATAATAATGCATATAATTACGGGACGGTACCCTTGTTATATTTTCCGCTCCCCCTCTCCACCCTCACTAAATAAAGAGCGAGCTTGTAAGACATGTAGGAAGTCGATGGGTGCAAGAGGTTCATAACTATGTTTGCGGCATTTCTGGTGTCAATGTTACGACTACCGTACCGTAGTGGCTAAGCATTCGGCTGCGTTGCTGCAGGTCGTGGATTCAATAAACGAACCGACAAGTATTTGTATGGTCTATAAATAATTTATCCAGAACTGGATATCTGTGCATATTTAAATAACGTATTTATTATATTTCATCATCATCATCATTACAGGCATTCACAAGTCCACTGCAGAACATAGGCCTCAACCAAGGAATTCCACAATTATTATATTTGTAAAATGTAATTATAAAATAAAATCAGGCAAAAACTAGGCTTCTTAGATACAACAGCATAATCTTTTAAGACAGTATAAAAACTAATCCCATCTGTATCGAATTTTGAAAACAGTGATAGCAAAAACTAACAATGATTTTATTTTTCATATACAAGGTGTAAGTGTAAACACCGTTGTCACTAAAACCATAGGTAGTTGGCTTTAATATAAAAATAACGCTATTTTCTTTCATAAAAATTAAAAAGTTTCTGTCCGACACCGTCCGTAAATTCATGGATACCCTATGCGGCCGAGTGATGTAATCACTGTAAAGATCACCGCCCGCCCTAGCTACCTACACAACATTCCAATAAAAACACAATAGGTACACATAACCTGTGATGTAACTTTTCCTTCATACTTTCGTCCTGGCTTAGGACAGTCAAAAATTGAGGAATTAAGGAAAAATGGAGATTTAACTAAAAAAAAAATGTTGTTATTTTTCATTGAATTTACGTTCTATAAGAGAAACCGAACCACTGATTTCAAGGATAACGGTGTTTACACTAACTCCCTGTATACACTACTAAGTTAAAACTTTTTACCATCTCTATATATAAAAATCTATTGTTGTATGTTAGTCTCACAAAAACTCGATAAATGGCTGGACCGATTTTTTTTATTTACGATTAATTTTTTTGTGTGTGCTTAAGTTACAAGTCCCTGGTCTAGGTCTTTGGATGATTTATGTTCACAATTGGACCTGGTAGGTGGCGCTGTTATCGAGATTCAGAAAACACCCATGCGAAGCCGGAACGGATCTCTTGTTTACAAATAAAAATGCCATTATTTGCTGAAAAGTTCACAATTCATCCAATAACATGACTATATAATTTGAAACACTACAATTGGGTAACCTAACTATTTTGATAACATCACGTTGCATCTTGAGCACTACTAGAACTGATATTACGCGTCCGTTTACCAGTGCCAGTTGCAGATTTATTCTTGTGCCGTTTCCGATCACTATCGTCTTCACTAACACTATTACACCTTGGTTTCGGACTCAGCATAGTATCAGAACCGACTGAGTCACGTTGAGACTTCTTCCTCTGCCTTTTGGAGATTTCACCTATCAACATATCATTGAATTGACGCTGACGAGCTTCCCAGTACAAGTTTTGTCTCTGGACTATATCTGGATATCTCGTTTCAAACGCGGTATCCGGAGGTAAGAGGAGCTCCCAACCTGTTCTTGAGTTAAATTTTGCGACAGATTGTATTATTTCCAGTACGTCTGAGGGTGGGAGACGGACTGCAGCTGACACCTTACGTCTATCTACATAAGGGTGTTGCGTAAACAAATACAGCTGGAAGAAAAAAAATCTGTATTATGAAAAATTCAAGTAAAAATTAAATAAAATAACACTCATTATTATAGAAAAAAATATTCTGTGGATCCAAGAATTTTTTTAATATTATTTAAAATAGAATAAAATGGAATGTTGTTTATTTCATTATCACATATTTTTTCCTTTTTCCACAGGGTTTTCTACTCTCAAAGAAAACTCCACTGTTGGACATGTGCCTTTCCCATTAAACGGAACATTTTCCATTATCATTATATTTCTTTCGTTTAACAGATGTTTCGCACCTTTGACATTCCAGTCACCATTCCGGGTATTTTACACCTGACGTTTAGTGTAATGGTTATATCTGTCGAAAGCCATATTAAGAACTTTTTCACATATCCCATAGTTCGAAAAGGAAACAGGAGCAATATTACTTATTGACAGTTCCATGAAATACTTTTTTTTTCATTTATTACAGCTTATCAAGAGTCCACTGTTGAACATAGGCTTCCCTCATACATTGCCTCATAGTTGCCATGCTTCAAACGTGGATCGACAACCACAATTTTTTGCCATTTTGAGTTGTTATTAGGAATATGCTGCTGCCCATCTATTTAATTTCTTTTTGTCGCCTCTTACAACCCCTAAGGGATGATATGGGTAAGTGGATTTTCTTATACAGTAACTGCAACAAAAGTGGGCCAAGTTCATAAGTGGACTTTTGACTCTACCTCCAACTGCAAACCTCACTCGCATGTTGCACAATGCAGCAGATGCATGGACGCAGTCAGTAGACGGATGTCGGAAAATCCATGCAACACTTAACCTGAACTTCACAGACATTCTGATGAATAGCAGCATTATGCAAGGTTCCCTTTTTTACACCTGCTGTATGGTCACAACCACAGAAATCGTAATAATAAGACAATAGAAGTGGCATAGACACGTGATTTTGTCGCTATGATGTGTTGACGAATATTATTATGTTGCGCGGGGAACGTCGTACGTAAATTTATGTTATTATAATAGTGAACTGCAGCATAATCTGTAGTAAAACCTCATCATGGACGTGTAATTCAACTAATAAAGGCATAGGTAACATTTCATCGGAAGGATGATTATTTACTAATTATTATTGTTTTAACTAATTTACGTCTAGATGAATACTTTACTATGATATTTACCTTTGTAAAATTTCATTCATTACTTTTCGTATTGTACAATTACCATTGCTGCTTTTGTTCTATCGTAATACGCGACGCACGCGACGTTGACAAACACGCCAAGTAATGTCATGTAAAACATTAGATATCTGTTTTATAATACGGCTGCAGGCATTGGTCGATTAATGCGTATGTGTTAAAATGTGGCGACATCGGTTTTGGAAGTAATCGAGCGCTGCTTCATTTCTATTGTCTTATTATTACTATTTCTGTGGTCACAACCAGCCCACCTAGTGTGACAAGGTGAAATATCTTCCAAGTAATGCATGTCAGCTGGTTCATATAGATGAAAAGGCCTATATTCCTGAAATGAACTTAAGTTAATATTTCTAACAAGATCAATAAGTTTTGAGATATTAGGGTATGATATGGGTGACATATTCGTTCGAAATACAAGTATATAAAGACTATATTTTTTTATATATATATACAACATGTCCCAAAATTCAACGATAAGCCAACACCGGAGGATAGACGTGCCCCGGACTAATCGGGGAAAAAAAGAAAAAAATATATCCCAATTATATTTTAAGTTATATAAAAAAATGAAATTCTTCAGAAATTGAGACCGTTTATGATATTTTTCATTACCATGACCACAATTTTTTTTAATATTTGTTTCTTTTTTTTATAGGCAACCTGAATAGCACTGCTATCTACCACAATTCTTAAAAAATTCAGAATAACTCTTGTTTTATCACGAAAATTAATGAAACTTATTTTATTCCCTAAATTAGAGATTAACGAATTTTACTTTTAACCAACTTTAACTTATCGTGGTGTAAAAAAAAAGTATGAACACTAGTATGGCGTTTTTTTTAAAAATTGACGCAACTAACCAACATTCCAAAATGGTATAATACTCTAGAAAACAAGTTATAAAAAAATATGGGCCTATTATTTCTAAACAGAGGCCAAATGACGGTCGGGTGTAATAAAAGTATTAGTTCTTGAAAAATGTTTAATATTTCAAAACAAATGGTACAGACAGTTTCACATGTAATTTATTAAGTTATTAACATTATAGCAAATGTTCGAACTGTTTGCCACCAGCATTAATACATGCACGACATCGCCTTAAAAATGATCGTTTTATTTGTCTTGCATATCTTCTGCTATTAATGTAATCAGCTGCCTGAGTGAAATTTCGACGAAACTCGTCCAATGTCGCAATGGGTTTTGAGTAGACCCTGTTTTTAAGACAACCCCAATAGAAGAAGTCTAGGGGGTTCAAACCGGGTGAACGGGGTGGCCATAAGATAGGACCAAATCGCCCGATCCAACGCCATGGATACTCTTGATTTAAATATTCTCGCACAGGACGGGCATAATGTACTGGGCAACCATCATTTTGGAACCACATGTTTTGAAGATCACTTAAGGGCACGTCGTCTAACAATTCTTGCAAGTGATTTTGTTAAAAGTTTAAATAACTATTTCCTTTTTGTAACTCAAAGGGCCTAAGGAACAAAGGGAGCTCAGTAAGTTTGTGTTTGATTATAGCAGCCGTTATAAATTCACTATCCATAGGCCAAATTGGGCCCTCGCTTCGGTTACTCGTCGAGTTGGATTACTATGGGCAATAGTCCAGTTGACTTTTGTCGGGGGACCGAAACTATATATATATATATATATATATATATATATATATATATATATATATATATATATATATTTTATATGATATACTTATTACCAGAATGTGGGCCGTGTAATCAAAGTCGTTTTAGCCATTCGACTACTGCTGTGTTAACAACACAAGCATTTTAAGCTAACCAGGAGTGATTAAATGGAATATTAGTAATGATAAATGCTTTTTCTTGTATTAAAAAAAATGAATGCGAGTGTGTGTTTGTGGTTAATAAATCACCTCGCAATAATTTATATACAGCTTTTTTCCCTAAAAAAAAATACTTACGACGTGGTCTCTAGCAGCGCACATAAGATGCGGCGGCGCGGGAGTTGCTCTGGTGTAGAGGTCAGCGGAGCGCGGCGCCCACAGCCCGCGCACGCAGCACGCCGCACCCCCCAGCGCGGTCAGAATGGCCGTTTCCCCCACACCCCCTACCCCACCATCACTCGAATGTAGACGACTGCGCAGCTCGCCAAATGTCATCAGTTTCGCTGTAAGGTTAAGAGGAGTGTTACAAAAAAATGCGAAATTACAAGGATTCCCCATTGAAATAAATGTTTTCCGTTCGTTGCTCGAAATAACCATTACTTGGTAAAACATAGTTCGTTTTCTCTACTATAAGCTGAAGGCAAATTTTATTTATTTAATAATAATCATTCTCAATATGCATGTTTAGGGCAAATTTGTGGATTATATTGAATATCGACCATCGAAAAAAATATTTTTATGTCATAAATATCCTATACTTTAATAATTATTAAATACATTTTCGTTATATGCCTTTCACGTAAGGGAAAAAAATCGTCATAATTCAATTATCTACCGAAAAAGCTTCGATACAAGCCCCAATATCTCCAAAGTTCTACATCATTTTGACGTAAAATTTATATCAATATAATCATCAATATATGCTTAAACTCTACCATGATTTTTACCTTTTAAATCGTTACTAATATTTTTAATTAACTAAATAAAAGTAGCATATATTTCACTGCGCCGGTCCTCTGCGTTCAATAGAGCGCGAGCGCTCGTCGAGTTTGGACCTGGATTAATTTACTTCGCGCGCTCCGTCTCGTTTCGATATTATCGTAGTGGGCGTCAAAGGCCGTGGATGGCGTTGCCAGGCGTCTGGATAAAGCCGGACACAGTCAGGCTTTTCGGTTGCGTGTCCGGCCTGTCTGGCTTTTTAAAGGAGACAATCATTTTGGACCAACTAGATATTTTAACGTTACTTAACTCATAAAAAAAGATACCAATTTACTATAGTAAACTGGCTAAAGATTTTATGAAAATCTAACAGGTATCATGATAAATAATACTATTAAGAATCGATAGCTACATATAAATACACCACCGCATTCTGTTTATTCGTGAACTGTTTTCTCCGGAACTACTAAAAATATTATCTATAATAAAATAGAATCCATCTAGTATTTAATATTTTGAAGAACCTACAACTTTTTTTACTTTTTTATTACTAACACTGAACTATTATTTTTTTAGGTTATAATGAGATTGCCGATTGATTGTTAATTTCTCAGTATTTCCGTTAGATGCGGTAAAACTAATATCACTAGTGTAATCTAGATATATAAGCAATAAATCGACATGCATTTCATTAAGTTACGACACAACTTGTGGTGAGCCCATTCTCCATACAAAAAGAAATTGTCTTTTTCACGTACTTACATACATAATATTGCAATTATTTAAATTAATATTTTAATGGATATTGAATGATTAATTGATTTAAGACTGATTTATTCAATTTTATTGTTATTTCATTAGAATTTGAGAATATTTTATGATAAATAATAAAAAGCATTGTTTCACTTTAAAAATAATTGTCATGTTATACTAAGACTAAAAAATTAAGGGTGTCCGGCCTTTTTACCAAAATGCCCGGCTAAGTTCGTTGGTCTGTCCGGCTTTTCGGTCTTAAGACCTGGCAACCCTAGCCGTGGCGCTGAATTTTTGTGCCAGAGCATCGTCAACTACGGCCGCAATTTTTAATCGTTGGAAATATTTACTTTAGTACAGTATATTTCAATTAATATAAAGTTCGCACATTATTATTATACCAGATAGTTAACTCGTTATAGTTATTTTGATTGTAGCTGAGCTTTCTTACCAGTTCGAATGGGGGGAAATAAATACAAGTATCAATGTGTCACTTAACGTAAAAAAAAGAAATATCCTATCTCTGAAGAAAAAATAATGGAGAATAAAAATGTCTGTATGCTTGCCATATGGACTGGCCCAGATTATGCAGTAAAAGTACTAAAAATCTACAAAGACGACAAGTTTTGGATTTTGAATATGTTAGCCAAGTTACAAGCGTTTTATAAAGTGTGTACTGCCTGCAATTATTGATTTGAGATATTCTAAGAGCTCGGTCGATGCCGTTGCGGCCAATGTTTTTATAATAGAAAAATGGTAATTGACTGTAAGTACAGATTAAAAGAAATATAAGTTACAGTTGGTTATTTTATTTATTAAAACAGGTTGCAACCGTACTATTAATTTATTTATACCACTATGCTACCGTTAGTAGATATAATCGATTATTAACCAACATCGGTTAACAATCAAATACTGTGAAACTATTAAAATATTTATGTGTACTTATTTCAAAACTAAGGTTCATAAATAATGAAAATATAAATACTTAGATTATCAAAAATTAATTAGATAACATAAAAATGACACCAAAAATTTTCCATCCACTGAACTCCATTCTAAGAAAACTTGTATAATGAAAGAACAAGATCGTTTAGTCGCTACACTCACAGTACCGTATTGCGAGCAATTGAAAAGATATAAAATAAAGTGTCGCTCGCGTAGGTCACCACCCGCTCGGGGCGTGAATTTGCGTAACGCCGGAAAGTAAGAGGGTTCTTAAACAAATTTCATTTTATTATACACGAATTTAACATAGCAGAGTAAATTAAAGGGAACAATACCATATGCTCGGGATATTTCTGCGTGATAAACTTAAAATGAAGATATCTGCAGTAAAACCAGAGTAACCGACATAGCCTAGCGCGGATTAGTAAGCTAACCTGGTAAGACATGTTAATGGATTCAGGTAGCTAAAAACCATGTTTTACGGCATTCCTTGGGGGAGGCCTATATTTAGCAGTGGACTTGTGAAGGGCTGTAATGATGATGATGATGACTATACTTTACCATGTAATAACATTGTAAAAATATTGTTACGAGCTTAGGGTTCGTGACAGTAAAAACTGCCGATTGAATTACCAAAATTGACACTTTAACTACCGAACACCAGTTAAAACTTAAAATACACTAATAATTAATCACACTTACACTTTAGTTAAGTTTATCGCTCCGGAGTCTGCGCTTTTCTCGCCAATTCAATACTGCCCCTTTCACGGCACTTAACAGCTTTATATAGGCCTTTTCCACCGAAACATCTAGAATGTTCCAGCAAATACCGGTCCCGAGCGACAAGTTGTAGAAAATTCGAGTGTGGAGTTTTTTAGAAAGCTTAGTTCTTCTATTCGATACTAGATGGCGCTAATAATCACCCGCCATATACCGGGCATTAATTGTGGCGCGCAACAATACCCACTACAACATATTGTCCTGTGGGTGTCGGAAAAGGCAATAGGGGGAAACTAATCAGGATAATGGCAGCAGTGTTGTCCTAATAATAACTAAAAATAAAAAGCTGATGTTACTAAAGCGCATGCCAAGTGTGGCAAGTATGCCCCTTGAAGGGTAATCTAATCTATCTTAAGTTCAGCAATGGACTGGATAAGCTGTAATGGTAATTTTTTACCTGAACTTACCAATGTAATCATAGTATATTAACAATTAAACAGGGGGTTTTTGCGAGAGTTTGATTAGAAACCGATTGATACAAGTATAACCATTGAAATAATGGTGTAGTGAATATGTATAGGTAATAGTGGTGCATTTTTGTTTTATGTTTACTATGGACCATGGCTGATCAAAGGAATTATTGCCGACGTCGCAAACTGCAAGAAGGAGACTGTTATAAAGAGTAAATGCTATTTGTTATTCCATTTCTGACTTCACTCATTAGTTATAGATGAATTAAGTCTAATTATTTTTGGGTCTGAGACAACATAGTTACCAGTGATAAGAATCTCTTTGATTTGTTCTTGTAGAGTTGCACGCTTCGTAGGTGCCACATCGGCTTCATCCGGCGGAGGTGGGGGAACCAACGCACGCACATATTCACTATGTGGCAAAGTCAGAGATGACCCATCTGATGTGTTTGCACTGAATAGTTTGAGACGCTCCAACTGTAAATAGATAAAAACAATTAAAGTTCAAGAAACTAAAGCAACATGCATTGATTGGAAGCTGTGATGATCTTAGTAAGAAAATTAAGCCAGTCATAAAATTATTACATTGTCATCAGTTCTTAATGCATTAGCAGAATTTCAGATTTTTCCGCCATCGGGAGTGGTGATATACATACTTGTCCTTTATATATATAGACTTTAGAAAAACCTAAAGAACATGCATCAATTCTAAGCCGATTATTTAAATACATCCTGGTGATCCAGATGGGTTTATTGGGACAAAGTTATTAAATTAATGAATCAATCCTTGATACAAATTCAAATTTTCAAGTCAAGTTGGTGAAAATTACATTAAAAGATTCCGTTACATATATAGATACACACAAAGCTAATAAAAGCTGCATGAATCCAGTGTATGAATTATTGTTGATTTTTCATTTTACTACTTAAATTATTGCAATTTTAAAACATTATAAATATCAGTATTGAACATTATACCTATTTTGTATGTTATATTAACAAAGTCATGTCAAATTATACAAAAAAAAAAAATTAACAGAACTTTATTGATTATGTGTTAAGATAATTCCAAGTATTATTTGCAAGTAATTGCTTAGGGCTCCTGGTCAGATTATGTAACCATTAATCAATTTCCATTAACTGTTTAAGTCTATTAGGTGTAGCACGCTGATTATTTATGCTACGATCATAACTCGTAATATGTAGCTTGATCAAGCGAAAAAGTAGTATTTTCATATAACAGAAAAAAAAAACTATAAATAGCATCAATAATTATGTTAGATGATAAATTTTATACTTACATCAGCGTAGTCACTGTCCGATTGTTTCCATAGAGCATCATACCAAGGCTCTTCTGAAATACGCTGAGATATTGTTTCAAAAGACTTTTCGCGTGCCTTCTTAGCTACTTCAGTCTCCTGTCGTGCAAATTTTACTGTGACCTGTCCCAAAAAAAAAGCATTTTATAACAAAGTGAGTCTTAAGTCACTTAGCCTATACAAACAACTTTAAAAACAAGTCCATAGCTGAACATAGAGCATTCATAATAAAGAAATTTTTGACTTCAAATTGGGATTTTTATGTTTTGACACCTATAGGTAGCACATAGAGCTATCACCAGACATGGCTCCTTTAACAAACATTTATTTACTATAGCATACAGGGCATAACATCTCTGCATGCCGGGATCACTTTTCGAAGTTGCTTGCAACATCAAAGGACTGTTAAACTTCTTCGGGGAGATTTCATGGCTCGAATAGCCACATTATTCCTGTCTACACGCAAAATACGCGCTTAGACGTTTATTTGCGGAAAACATAATTCAACTGTATTTTTTATGTGTTAAATCAGAATTTTTTTCCAGGTGAACCGATTTTGATAATTCTTTTTTTATTTGAAAGATGGTGCTTTACATGTGGCCCAATGTAAATTTTATCAAGATCTGACCAGTAGCATTTGAGTTAAGTCTTAATAATGCATATTTAATTAACTTTACATTGATGATGTTCTCATTTTATTTATATTGAAGTCGGTTGTTTACAATTTTTAATTTTGCCACTTGTAAATAACTAAGAATTCAATCATTTATATTGATAGAGCTGGTGTATACAGGGTGGCCCAAAAGTCGTGGATCAAACGCAACTAGGGGTTAGATGGGGTCATCAGCTGCAAAAAGTTGTTCTACGGGAGGTCCTTAAAGTCAACCCCCGCAGAGTTATAATTTATTTTGTGTTTTTATGAGAAAATTGACTTTTTTTAACTAATTCTTATTAAAATGCCAAAAAATAAACATCCTCTATCTTTTTTTATAATTTTCACTAGATTGGTACTGATGAGTCCTTGCGTTAGACATGCCATTTATGGTTGTTTATTGGGTGTGTTGAAGATAATATTAAGTTTTACGATTTTTTTTTTCTCAAATCATAACTTTTTATTTACTTCGGACCCCACTGTGAAAAAAAAATACTCTACCGAAAAGTGACCCTGTATTACAAGTTTTGGCGCATTTAATAGGGATTCTGAAATGGTATTACACATGGCCATGAGTGGCTCTAATATCTTTCTAGGACGAAAAAACAAAGCAACGATTGTGAAATAATTGTTTTATTAAGCAAAACATTTTACAATAAATGCTCAAAATTCCTGCCTCTGACCATAATACATAATCTGCACCGTCTAATAAAATTCCTACGTAACCTACGGAATGCACTTCTGTTGTTAGTTACTTGTACTCTAGCAAACTCGAGCTTTTGTCGTAGTTCTTGTTCGCTATTGTTCTCTCCTTGGTAAACTATTTATTTAAAATAGCCCTAAAGAAAAAAATCTATTGGATTTAAATCGGGCGACCGGGGTGGCCACGCAACATGTCCGCCTCGACCAATCCACCGGTTGGGGAAGCGCTCGTTCAAATGATCTCTGACTGCTCGAGCGTAGTGAGGCGGGGCGCCATCATGTTGCAGCCACATTTCTGCTATTCTTTCTTCTGGAACTTCAGCTTCGTTAAGAATATGATTTAAATTATTTTGCAAAAAATTTAAATACTGAGCACCATTCAGCCTTGCTGGCATTTCATGCAGCACCAACTGCTGGCCAATTATACCAGCCCACATGTTAATACCAAACAGATTCTGGAATCGATCATTTCTTATGATATGGGGGTTTACTCTGGAGTAAAAATGTAGATTGTGGATATTGAATACTCCCATTCTTCTAAAAGTTGACTCATCCGTCCATAAAACCTTGTTAAAGAACTGCGGATCTTCTCTGTGATATCTTAGCATCTCTCTACAAAACCGCACTCTAGGTTCATAGTCACCGGGCAGCAAAGCTTGCACCCTTTGCACGTGGTAGGCGTGATATTTTTTTCTGTTAATGACACGTTGCACCGTCGATCTTGGAATCCCGATATTACTGGATATTTGGCGTTGACTTATACTAGGATCCAATCTTAATTCTCTTAGCACTTCATCTTCATTTTCAAATTGCATCACTGGTCTGCCTGCTCTCATAGCATGCTGACCGGGTAAGACTCCCTCCATGTACGAATTATGTACGCGCATAAAGACCCTGTAATCCGGAAAACGATCACGGTTAGGGTAGCGTTGACGATATTCCCTGGCAGCAGCCCGGGCATTACCGTCGCAAAAGCCATACAGGTAATGCATTTCTGCATACTCCCGTTGGGTGTATTCTCTCCTCGCAGCAGCCATCTGTCCACTTTTGTAGCCAATCCGTCCGATTCACATAGCACTGGTCACAGGTAGGCAATCTATCACAAGTCCGAAAAACAAAGCGTAGGTCAAAGGAAAGAAACTGGTCACAAGTCGTCGTAAAACCGAGAAAAAGAACACGTGCGTACCCACAGGCAGGAAGCAAGTTACTAAAGAACACTAAACATTCTAAAGAAACATGCTCACGCGCATCCCCCATCCCCCCCCCCTACCCGCCCAGCCTTTTGTTTCCTAGAAAAGATATCGCTACCTGAACTGACGGGCCAACCGGCCTTTTTACTGACAAAGGATTAAATAGTTAGTGTAAAAGAGAGGCAGAGAGTCTTTGTCATTAATTGTATTAATTCTAGTTTATTTTTAAATAAGCCTAACCGAGTTTTATGGTTGGGTTAACTTTGGCCTTGCCATGAATAATCGTCCTAAAAAGATATCAAAGCCACGCATAACCATGTGTAATACCTTTTCAGAATCCCTATTAAATGCGCCAAAACTTGTAATACAGGGTCACTTTTCGGTAGAGTATTTTTTTTTCACAGTGGGGTCCGAAGTAAATAAAAAGTTATGATTTGAGAAAAATAATAATCGTAAAACTTAACATTATCTTCAACACACCCAATAAACAACCATAAATAGCATGTCTAACGCAAGGACTCATCAGTACCAATCTAGTGAAAATTATAAAAAAGATAGAGGATGTTTATTTTTTGGCATTCTAATAAGAATTAGTTAAAAAAAGTCAATTTTCTCATAAAAACACAAAATAAATTATAACTCTGCAGGGGTTGACTTTAAGGACCTCCCCGTAGAACAACTTTTTGCAGCTGATGACCCCATCTAACCCCTAGTTGCGTTTGATCCACGACTTTTGGGCCACCCTGTATGTTAGTATATTTTTTATTTGTAAAATATATACAAGTATAAAACTTTTATTTGTATTTTCGGAATATCTCACAGAGTTCCAAGAGGGGGGAATTATTTGCTGCTCTGTTTACACTAAATTTAGAGTTTTTCACCGTCCGAGTCAATATTGCATACCGTAATTTCGCTGCCTGTGCTTCACACTACACTAATATTTCACAATTCAGAAGGTTATTTAAATTTATACTTATTTTTTTACTACTTCATTTCAAACCATGAAAGAACTGGAAGTCACACAGCTATATGATTGCAATAGAAATGAGTTGGTATGACCACAATAGACCTACACTTTTATAAGATATGAGCATAATGAAGCTTCGATTTGCTTGCTGACAATTTTAGCAAAATTTATCTCTTATGAGACAATCTATGGGGGATGCCTATGTCGACTAGTGACTTATACGCTGTGATAGATAGAATAGATCATAAAATCTTGTTTTTAAGCAGATTTACCTGTTGGGCTTCGGGCTCTTTATCCTCATCATCGGAATCAGTCTTATTCTTGTCAGGCTTTCTTTTATCTTGTTTGTCATAATATCCATAAGATGGTCTGAGTTGAACAATACCTGCGTAATATAACTTCAAATTAACATTACAGTGGTATATACACTAACAAAACTTCAAAATTAACACAATACATTTATTAATAAACCTTTGACAGGAGTACAGTGTAGTTCCTTATCTTGCAATAAAGCCACAGCATAATGTTTGGTTTCCATACATGGTGTACTACTTTCATAGACAATCTTGTCCATAAAACCATTCTTGAAGTACTGTGATTTTTCTCTTTCTTTATCCTTTAAATACCTTGATTCCTGTAACAAATTAGAATAGGTATTTAATAAACTTGAATATATTGATGGTCTAGAAGACAAACATGGTAATTACAAAATTTTGATAATTTAACATTTTAATACCAAATGTATTAAATGAGCATGCTTTACGGATCCCACTCATCCAAATGACATTATTCCGTCTCTTTCTGTCTAAACTGTATTTGTACATTCATAGTAAGTGATGTCATTTTGAAGCCAAAAAAAGTAATGGCAGTTATTTACCATCAGTTTAACTACAAAAAATGCTAAATAGATTTATGACATTTCACTTGTGTTTACCATGATTGACAAATAAGCTAAATATTTTTATTACGTTTGTCATTTTGTAACTTTCAATTTCCAATTATATTAAATGATGTAAATATTTTCAAGTGCCGGTAGAAAAATGGTTTAAGTGATCATAATACTACTGAAAACTCGTCAGCAAATAATAAAAAATATTAAGTGCTTTAAAAATACTAGGTCAATGTAGACAAATATTGTAAATGATTTAACAACAAAGTTCTAAGTAAACAACAGGAGCCCGATAGTACTTAAGTTATTTGTACGTGTCGGCGTTTCCAACGAAAACGACCGATGTTCCAACGAAAATCCCCGATGTCGACGGTGATATGCAAAACGACTTTGCTGCCTCGGTACCGTCGTCTTCGCCTGCAGTAAACACCGAATTTCCCACAAATATGATGGATGCCGCCGCCTCCACTACCTCGGTGCCGCTGTCTCCACCCGCAGCATCCGCCGACGCTCTTAAAGAAACCGCTTCCACAGCTAATGATCTATATATTGCTTTTAGCACTAATTTTGAACCACAAGTTAACACTTCATCGATTCCTTTGCAAGGATTATCAGTCACCAGTTCCTAGTACATCGAATAGTACTAATATAGAGCAAATAATTCTCGATCTTCAATTGTCAGACTCAAATGATTCCCCTTACGTAGATTCTGAATCGTCTTACCATCCAGAAAATAACAAACCTGCAACTTCATCCGATATATCTCGGGATGAGATTGAGGAAACAAATGTCCGAAAAAAAAGTAAAAAACCAAACCCAGACACGTGGAAGAGAAATATAGCAAAAAACAAACGTCAAAGCGGTAAATATTATATCAACAGAAAGGGTAACATTGTTAGCGCAAAAAACTGTGTTCCTACAGAATGCAGTAAATGTAGATACAAATGTAATGAAAATTTTCCTGAAAATGTAAGAGCTGATCTCTGTCGTAATTTTTGGGGACTTGGAGAAAACAAATGTCAAAAAATTTACCTTTCAACTCTTATAAAACACGCAAATATTCAACGTATAACGGTTGCAGCTACAAAACGGTTGCGCTATGTCTAGACAGTATTTTCTTTGTCACGAAAACACAGGTAGACAAAGAGTTTGTCAAAAATGTTTTTGCAACACTTTTATTAAAGTGGAAGTGTAATTGTTACTTGCACTAAACAGATGGGACCAAAATGCGTTTACGTGGGTCATGATCTACGGCAAGGACTTATTCCTGGAAACAAAACTTCAGAAGCAATGAAACAATTTGTTAAACTGCATATTGACATGTTTCCTAGAATCGAGTCCCACTATTGCAGAAGACTCCAAAAAAATATATTTGGAGAGTGACCTTAATATGGCTTGCTTATATAAGTTGTAAAAAGAAGAATTCTGTCCAGAAAGAAATATAAATCCTGTTTCTTTGTATGTTTACGAGAAGATTTTCAAATCGTATGACCCACCACTAGCATTTTACAAACCAAAAAAGGATCAGTGCACTAAATGCAATGTGTACAAGTGTGCTGAAGACAAAACCAGTTTACAAAGAGACTATGATGAACATAAAGCAAGAGAAAAAGAATCTTTGGAAATGAAGGCATACGACAAGAAAGAAGCATAGAAGGCGATGGTACGAAGCGTGCAATAACATTTGACTTGCAGGCAATAGTCATTGCCTCACACCGCTGACTCTAAAATTTTCTACTTACGGAAATTTTCTATCTACAATTTTACTATTTTAGATAATTATCAAAATACAGGACTATGTTATATGTGGGACGAAAACAACGGAAAAAAGGCAGCACTGAATTGGTTCAATTTTACTTAAGTACTTGATGGATTTGCCTGAAAACGTAAAAACTGTTACATCCTTTTCAGACACCTGCAGTGGTCAAAATCGCAACAAATATGTCACATTGGCAGCATTGTATGCCGTAATAAATGTTCCTCATTTGAAAACAGTTAACCTTAAATACTTGGAATCTGGCCATTCGTACCTGGAGGCTGACTCTATACATGCAAGTATAGAGCGTGCCCGAAAGCATAAAAAATATTTACTGCAAGAGAGTACGCTTTTGTTGTCAGTTCTGCGAGATCCAGACCCAAACCTTACAACGTGATCATGATGAAGTACCCCGATTTCTATGATTTAAAAGCTTTAGAAAAGTCATTGAATTGCAACATGTTAAAAAACAAAAATAATGAAACAGTAAAATGAATGACCATCAAAAGGATACAAGTAAGAAAGGAGTCTCCGGGATCGGTATTTTACAAATATAAACTAAGTGATACGACTTTCAAAGAAATTGAAATTGCTGCATGTAAAAAAAAGTAGAAAAAGGAACCAAGTATTTCTGGTTTATACAAGCCGTTAAAAAAAGCATACAATTCCCAGATGCCAATTTCAAAGGCTAAGAAGAAGGATTTGATGACGCTGTTGAAGGATGGAGTGATCCCAAAAGACTACGTTGATTATTACACTAACATTCCTTCTATTGATGAAGAAAATATAATTAACGATTGTTCAGGCTCAGAGTCCGATGACTGACCTTAGAAATGTACAGTTTTAATACTTAAATAATAATACTAACGTAATACTTACATGTTTGATTTGTTTGGTAATAAAGAAACTTTTACACGTAATTATTTTTTTTAATACATCGGTACTAAATTCTTCATTATACCCTAAATTAATATACAAAACACGAAAGTGTTAAGTGAACAATATTATATAAAGTTTGTGTACAAACATACTAAGTGATAGAGTTTTTTGCTATTTTGGTATTTTTATAGAATATTTTAGATAATTGATGTTTGTATTTATGATAATTAAGTATATAGATAAATACCCTAACTAGGCATTGCTACATAGGCAGTATATACACAGTTTCAATGACCAGTTTTAAGTTATAGTATCTAGAAGTTTTGAATCATTAAAAACAGTCCTCCTGAAAAATTGGCTGGTCCGTAATTACCATGTTTGTCTTCTAGACCATCGATATGTCAGAATAAGCTATTCCGATATGTGGTTGTGAAGTCTTGATAGTAACACAGAAGGAAGAGAACTACTTTTTAATAGCCATGTGGATGATTCTACAAAGGTTAGGAAAATGGCAGTTGGGAGGGTACAATTAAAACTCCGGATTAGAAAACCCATGGTTGAGAGAAATAAATGCACTTCGCCTACAGTGGTTTGGTCATGATATGCAAGGATTGGAGTATAAAGAGAGCAAATTAACACCTGAATATTACAAACTAAATGTTAGGAACTGGAAAAAATTTCTGGCAGGCAAAATTGAAGTCTTTTGTTATGCTATCACAGTACAATGTACCATTTAGGACTTCATCATCACATAACAACAGGTAAGATTGTAGTCAAATGACTTTTAATAGTAAAAAATTTAATTAGAAGTCAAAACTTTTTATTTTTATGAATGATAAAATCTACACCAGTTTACAAAAACAAGACCTTCTCAGAAAGGAACTAGCAAGGAACTCTGGGGTCTTTTAATTTAAATAAATACAATAATTAACACAAAATAATAATTAATACAATGTGAAATGTATTATAATAAGTAACTTATATAGTCATTTTTAACAATAGGTCAGAAGCCAGAGGACTTAAGTTAGTTATTTCTACAAATCAATGTTCTTAATGTATTGAACTGTTTTATGGTAGGTCTTTTTTAACAAGACTACCTTAAAAAGCTTTTTAAATATTGTGTCAGATTGTTTGACTATAATTTTAAAATTTTAAGCAATTACTCATAACAGATTTTATAGTTTTAGTAAACTTAAATTTAGGAACCACTAGTGTATTATTTCAACTAACTGTAAATTAACAGTTATGTAGTTAATAACTAATACCAATTATTAACAACACAAATGTAAATTAACCTTTCAAACAGCAAGCATCTAAATTTGACCGCAGTCACCCACAGCACTTTAACCCATCAATACTTATGTTGAGAGACTACTTTTCTATGAACAAGTTTGGCATTATAGAATCAATACAAAATTTTCTATCCTCTAATGGAATAAAAAGTCAGTTTATGGATATTTATTTATAATCTAAGTTCATTTCATATGCCATTTTCGTGTGAATGTTATAGTGTTGATTTTTGGATTTTTCTAGTGTTTTATTAGTGTTTTAGTATAGTGTTTTATTATAAAATTGTAATGTAAGTTTTTGTGTGAATATAATTTATCTTTTTACGTAAATAAATTTGAGTAATATATATGCCATCAAAAACGTAACTTGTAAAAAAAAACCAAGTCTCGCAACTCAGTTCTTCTATTGTAAAAAGTTGTGAGATACATGTAATACCAAGTCGGTTAATTTATTCAGTCCCTACTTAAGGGTCCTTCTGTTTTTTTAGTTATTACATAATTACCTAACCTAACAACATCTTATAGTGACCATATCAATTTAAAAAAAATCTTTTATGTGTTAATTAAATAGATTGACTTGGCTATTGCTTGAAAACACAATGTATCTCACAATTAATTAGATTGTTTAGTGCGATTGCCAAGTCAATCTATTTATTTAAAACATAAAAGATTTTTAACATACCTGTGTACCTGTATAATATTATACAGGTACACTGATTCATTCACTGCAAATGTAACTTTGTAATCCTATATTTATATGGGATTACAAAGTTATTTATGCAGTTGGTGTATCTAGAAAACTGGCCTGAAAATAAAAAGTATTTTAGTTTTTCCTTGATTTATACACTAAGCACTAATTGCATTCTAAATTTGAAGCTTCTATGTCTGCTAAAAGTGCTTTAGAGTTTTGATGTACGGTCAGTCAGTGAGTGAGAAAATTAAAAAACTTTGACTAGTTATAATTATTAAACTACTAGTTCAAATTGAATGAAATTTGAAATATAGCATGTTTATACAATGCCTGCTTGGTCTCTGAAAATTCAGGTTATTAGTTTTATTCACAACGAAGTTATAGGGGGGTCGAAAATTGCCTGATCTGCTTTGTGAAAAGTATGGTACAGCCGTACTGCTTTTTTGCTCAACTTGGCAGGGGCACTGCCGTGCCCTCAGATAGAAATAATTGTGATTTTTACGCTGCCGGCATCTGCTTCGTGTGTATTTTTTTGTTATCAAAATACAATAAAATCTTTTGTAATAAACTAAAACCTGACTTTTGTTTAGACCACAGGATAGAGAATTTTGTATAGATTTTATAATGCCAAACTTGTTCATAGAAAAGTAGTCTCTAAATATAAGTTTTAATGGTTAAAAGTGCTGTGGGTGTGGTTGCATGTGACCGCTCGGGATATACAGGACGCATGTGACTGCATGGGATTTTTATGGGGATTGAAGAGTTAACAAGATAGATACAAAGTCATGAAGATAATGAAATCCATTAGGTATGTGTAGCAAAGCCAAATAATTCTTATGATGAATGATTTCTTAAGGAGAAATCGCTATTGGAAAAATGTGTGAGTAGAATAATATTTTATTTACCTGTTGACCATCCGTGTTTAATGCAATTTGCTCACCCTTAGAAGGGCAATATTTATCGCTATAAGTATCAAGACCAACTTCGATCCTTACAATTTGATTTTTAGGCTTTATCGACACATTCTTCACTTTGATTTCCTTCCAATCTCTATTAGCTGGTCTTACCGGATATTGATATATATAGAAATTATCTGCTAATGCCTGTGATAAAAACACAGGGATCTAAAATATAAAAACATGTGAGAACACTTTGCAAACCTTTTTTAAACAAAAATAACATAACCTACATTGTTAACACATTCATGTGATAATGTAACGTGCAGTATTTTACCTCTTGCACGACAGGATCGTCTTCTTCCATTATAATAGGATAGTTTTGTAAATTACTGTTATGACCAAAGCATATCATCTAATTAAAAATATATATACACTAAAACTGATGGTTTTTTAACAGAACCAGCTTCGACCGTTCAAGTAGGATCAGCAGCAGCCGACAGTAAGCCAATTTAACCGCAACAACGTAACAGAAGCAGTAGGTAGGTTTGACAGTGACATTGACATTCGAAATTCGTCAACAAATTGACAATTATTTGTTGTCTTTATTTCCGTGATGGACTCGCACGATTGTACTTTTGCCAGTGGCAAGCAATAAGTAAGTATTAACCCTTTATCTTAGACCGTTCAACCCAAAGAACGAGTAACGAGCCTCTTACGAATCTTAGGGTAATTACATATATACGTATGCATAGAGAGAACCTTTAGTTACCGGCACGAGTCGTGAGCACATATGAACTGTGGTGGGTGTTGAGCCAGCATTGGTACACTGTCGGTCAAAATTATTAGATTCCTTTATTATTTCAATTGGTAACTGAATACTTTCGCTGACTTGAAAATGTTTATCTCAACCTGAATACATAAACTTTAGTTTGATATATTAATCTTGCAGATATTCGTGACCATTATTTTATTATCTAATATACAGTATTTAATGTATACCCACGTCTGTAAAACTCTATCGAACAATTTACATTTGGTTAGAATTGTAGATCTTAATAAGAGGAAGGAAGAAGTGATATGCCTTCCATAAATTCTGAATTTGCGATGCTAGTAGAAGCCCCTTCATCTTCCAGTTCATCATCATCATCGTAATCTTTGTCGTCATCCTCATCCACCGAACTAGACCCAAAGTTATCATTGCCCACTTTAATGATAAACTCCTCCGTTATTTGGTCAAAATACGATCAGAAATTCTGATCCTTTAACTATAGCAGTCTGTTTATAAACGCCTATCATGTTTTTTGCAATACCTATTTTTTTTCATGTAACAAAACACTCAATAGACCATTTTTCGCGATTGTCTATGTTACTCCCGATGTCGATTTATCCCTTATAAGCTATAGATTACAATAGTAATGTTAGTTTTACCTCATCTAAACGGAGTACTGAAAAATTAAAACATGATTCTAACAATAACCTAAGAACAAACTTAAAACGATTTTCCAGTAGTTTTCACCGGTATTGTAAGTTAATAGTGCACTGTTGAACAATTATAGTACATATAAAACAATGTTGTAGGTATATTCAGCATTTATAGGTACTTTAAGATCGATGGAAAATCTTTTCACTAGTTCCGGCAAAATATAGTGTCTGTCTGTGCACAAATGTCGTATGAATTCTATTTTTTAAATGTATTGATTGATAGAGAGAGTACATACATTCAAAATACCATTAAAGTAATAATATGATTAAAGCCAAGATGACTAAGGGATAAAATGTCCATTTATATTTGTAATATTACCAACACACGGTAAGAAAGATGTTTTAAACTGGTTGCGTTGGTTATCCTACACCTTTAAACGAGCAATTCTTGTATATATATATATATATATATATATATATATATATATATAAAATATATATATATATCGGAATCTCGGAAACGGCTCCAACGATTTCCATAAAATTTAGTGTCCAGGGAGTTTCAGGGGTAATAAATCGATCTAGCTAGGATTTATTTTTAGAAAATGTCTTTTTGTCCGTGTTTTCAGGCAATGAAAAAACTGCTACAGTATAAGAAGGTAAATTTTGACACTGTTAATGATCGTAATAGCTCAGTTGGATATGGAGCGGTCGCGAAATCGTAGTGCCTTGGTTCGCGTCCTGTCTTCGGTCCGATTTTTTTTCCTTTTTTTTTCAAGTTCCCTTCTTTTGTGAGAAAATCTATTATTTCAAGCCCTTTTTTAATATTTTTTAAAAATACGGAATTTTAATTAAACTAATTGCACTCAAGATTTTTTATTCAAATAACCAGTTCAGTTTTTTCTATTATGTCAATAAGATCAAAAAATATTATTCGTCAGTATGTAATTTGTATTTAAATGTAATTTCAAAAAAAGAACCGAGCAAAGCTCGGTCATCCGGGTACTTATTGTAAAGCTGAACGTACATTTGTCGGTACCGTAAGCACCACATTTTAGAATTCGTTGTATGAAATTATATGAAACATCGCACCATTACAGCCGCACCGTACTCGCCGCATTTTATAAAATACGTTATGTATCCGAATATTGTTGGACAAATGCTGATGACGTATAATGCGTGGCTTTCGGCGCGTGCTGATACTCAATGCTGTGTAATATTGCCAACTTAGTGGGTTTTCCACTAAAACTGGGGATTCCGACTTTCTTTTTTGTTTTATGGTCTTATTTCTATTTAGCAATATACTCGTACTGTTTGAAATGTAAATCAATATATACATAAACACAGTTCCCAGAAGCTATTTAATTTATTATAGCATAATATATATTAGCTAATTATTATTTAGTTAAGACACTCTTTACAATATTCATTAACTTTTTTTCAGCTGGATCGCTTGGAACAACTCTGTAATGCTTTGCAGGCTGAAATCTTGTTGATCTGCCCGTAAGCAGAGACAAGAAAGTGTATGAATATTGAAGACTAATAGCCTTATATTATATCTCTTATCATTAAAAATGCCCTGATTCCTAACAATATCGTAGCCGGGTATGTTAACATCATGTTATTTTATATTTGGACCCGGTAGATGGAGCTGTTGTCAAGATCCATAAATTCACCCGTGCGATGCCGGGGCGGATCGCTAGTAATAAACACAATTGATACCTGTTTTTTTCATAGGAGAGGGGAGAAACGAGCATACGGCTCACCTGATAGTAAGTGATTACAGCCGCCCATGAACAACTTCAACACCAAAGGAATTGCAGATGCGGTGCCAGCCTTTTAAAAAGGAATAGGCTCTTTTCTTTAAGGTCCTTAAGTCGTATCGGTCCGGTAAAATATCTAGTGATAGTCGATTCAAGGAAGTCGATACAAGGAAGCTATGCGAGGAAGAAAACTTCTTTTAAATCGCACAGTGGTGGACCGCCAGTCACCCAGATGGTATGGATGATCGCGAGTATTGTCGCGATGTGCCATGGTGAAATTGTGCGGCTGGGATTACTCCGAACAATTCCTCAGAGCACTCCTCGTGGTAAATGCGATAAAATACGCAAAAACGTACAATTGTACTTTTATAAATAAACTCGCCACAAAGTTTGTACGATACTGATTATTGAATATTTATACGTTTTATATTGAGTTTTAATTAAAATGGACGGAAGATATCACGTATAAATTTGTACGGGAGTGTCTAGAATATGAATTTTTATATAATAGTAGAAGTTCAAATTGTAAAATTAATCCTGCTCGAGATGCTGCACTCATGAAAATTAATAAAAACTTCTTTAACAACAACCATTAATACTTCTCTGACTGGATCATTTAAGTCTTGACGTAATCCTGGAACCATCTTAAACGAAAACCATAAAAATTCTGTAGTCTTGAAACGTCATACTCTAACAAACTCTATGAACTAATGTCCTTAACTAAACTCGCCACGAAGACATTGTTTGAACGCTACTGTCCACTTAACCGTTCACTGTCAACTGCCTTGTAACTAAACTCGCTACTGTACTTGGCGAAGTGTAAATCGGTCTTAAGAAAAAGAGAAGAACTCACAACCATAAATAAACAAAACGCACTCAAACAAAGTCAGCTTAAGCTAAAGCTACGGCTAACATAAGCTAAGCAAGTTTTTTAGAGTTCTATACTAAAACAACAAGGAACCCGTATAGTTTTGCCAAGTCCGCCCGTCTGTGCGTCTGTTCGTGAGTTAGCTATAATGTAGCATTATTATACATTAATACCAGAAATAAAAAGGCATATAAGCAAAAATAGAAAACAAAAACAAAATAGAAGAATTTATGATTTAAATATTAATTGTTTGAGATTTATATTATTACAATAACATAAAATATAAAAGTGTTTCAAAAATATTTGGTGTATTATGTATTATATATTTGGGGGGTGCGTATTTTTAAATATATAATAAAATACAATAGAAAAGATTTTGTTCAAATAAACTTTTACTACCATTACATAGTTCGGAATGCCGTTCCAACCGAGAAGAACTAGAAGGAAAGTGAGTGGTTGCTTTTTAGAAAACAAAAACAAAAAATAACAATAATATTGTAAATATAGATTACATGTAATACATATTGAAGTTAATTTTTTTTGCTTATCACTGGTTCGGAAGTAATCTCTATCCTGGGAAGATCCAACAATAAATACAGCGGGACTTTAAAAAAAATGTTAATTATACAATATGAAGGCTAGTACAAACTATTGACAATTTTTATTTTAGAGACAGCTTGGAAGCGACTACCTCATTCTCAGGGGTTATCATCCATAATATTAATTAATATCATTAATCAACCATATAATATATTTAAAATTAGCTTTTCTTATACATTTTTTAATATAAGTGGCAAAATAAAAAATATTGTACAATCGACGTCAATATAAATAAAATGAGAACATCATCAATGTAGTGGAAGTCAATTAAATACGCATTAGTAAGGATAACTCAAAAACTACTGGTCAGGTCTTGATCATATTTATAAGGGACCACATAAGACGCATCAGCTTCTAAATAAAAAAAGAACCATCAAAATCGGTTCACCTAGAAAAAGTTCTGAGATAATACACATGAAAAAATACAGTCAAATTGAGAAATTCCTCCATTTTTTTGAAGCCGGTTGAAAATATTTACACTTGGTCATAGAGAGACTTTATATATTTTCTGGGACCTTGATGTAATAGTGTAAATATTGCCCCAAAAAAATTTCTGACTCTGTGCAGTCGAGAAACTGGCATTTTTTTTATAAACAAAAAAACACTAGTTTGTGTTTGTTTATGTACAAGATATTTCATTCTAATATCAATATATTTTTTTTCGCGGCCGTAGGCTTCGACCACCTAATCCTGGGCCCACCCTACACGTGG